TATATATATATATGCTTTCTTACGTACGTGTGCTTTTCTCTTTAGCTATGTGTTATCTTTTTCTCGATTATTATTGCCGAGTAATAATTCTCTTATTTTGCTCGTCTATTATTTCTTTCTCAACATTCGCCTCCAGTGTGAGCCGCAAGAGTCGATTCTGTGACTGGTCCATTCGGATGCCACCGAATCGCCGTGTGTTGTGACTGCGAATGTATGCTTTGTGGAGTGTGTGCCTTTACTCGCGCGAAGAGGTTTGAATTTTCGCTACATACATCAGGAGAATGCATCTATCCAAATATGAATCCGTGTATTTCATATATTATATTATTCGCTAAAATGGAGGAATCAATGGAGATTTCATCTCAGAGGTAAAAGAGGAAAAGAGAGTTAATGCACGATACAAGCAACATTATGGATGCAAAGATATATAAACTGCGAAATATACCAAGCTGATCTCAAGCAGATCCGAAAGCGCAGTATGCCTGATAAATATAACATCAGAGCAAAAACCCGTGAAAATTGTATTTAAAAAATGGATCACTCTCCCTCCCTCTCTTTCTCTTGGAGACAGTCGTCATTTCTTATATCAAAGCTTCGCTTTTAAAACATTTAGAGTACACAATATTCTCCAAATGTTCGTATGTGTTTGAATCTCTTCGCGCGCACTCGGAAACGCGCGAGTAGTTGTATTAGCGAATGAAAGATTATTAAAATATGTCTGTTGAGCAAAAAAATGAGATGAAAGAGGTATAAGAAGCTTCGCGTAAGCGGAGGCGATTACGCTGTGAGCCGAGACTAAAAGAGAATCCGAGAGAATAATCTTTCATTTTCGACGAGAGAGCGGGCTAACAGCGTCGATCCACACCATTTCCGTGACTAATCGCCTTCTTTTTGTATTCTTTCTTCGGGGGATTTTCGGGAATACCTCGATTCAGGATCATACTTCAATTGCATCATGTTCATGGTGGCGAGCAGCGTCGTATTGACCGTTCTGGTGCTCAACTATCATCACAGATCGCCCGATAGATACGTGATGCCAAATTGGGTAAGAGATATATACAATTAAATATAATTATAACATATAATTTTAGAGAGAATTAACTTATTCCCCCCTCTCTCATTTAATTAATAATAAATAACAAATATCTCTCTCAAATAATATAAATGCAGCGTGCGTTAATAATGACAAAATATTGAAATAAATAACAACAATTTGTCGCTAAAATAATGAATACAAACAACTTTAACTTAATTAATTAATTAATTATCTGATAATAATAATTAATGTAATTATTATGATCACACAAATTATTTATATCTTTGGCTGTAATCTACATACGTGTTTTAAATGCATACGAATTGTCTGTTCACTGAAACCTTCATCCCTGGCGCGATCTTTGTAGAATGGATTATATACGAATTCGCGAGAAAATTAATTAAACATACCGTGAATATTTTCAATTTGCTCTGAAAACACGGTCTTTGGTCGACCGTGAAGTAAAATATTTCAGTCAAATAAAGATTAATCATTTTAGATACATAGAAATAAGCTGCTTAACTAAACGGATTAGCCGGGATTTACTCTCGTCATTGTTGTACTCGTATTATACCGAAATCATAACAAATTTAATTGCTTTCCATTATACTCGATAATTGAATAAGCAACAATTTTGAAATCGTATAATTATAATTTATTATCATGATAATAAAATGCGATCATAAATATATCACATTCCCAGATTAGAGAGAGGATAAGGCATTATTATTTTCAATTAAATATATTCAGATAATTATAAGCAAATAACACAAAATTATAACTTAATCGCATTATTTAAAGAAGATATATAAATCAGAAGCAAGTAATTTATATAAACTCGAAATAACACGAAATTTCACAATTGTACGTAAAGAATACCTCGAGTATATATAATGGTTAGTAATATATTTTGCACAGTAAGTTTTGTACTTGCCATTACGTTCATTAAAAACAGTGCCTTACTTCTTGAAAGTTAAAATGCCTTCGAGGTATTAGTAGTCGCTCTCGGCTCATCCGTCGGTTAATACAAGTTTCGTCAACACACCAGAAATGTATTCTGAATTCAAATTGGTTTCGTTTACAAAACACTCCTAGTATGTATATACTTACATAATATGCCAGCATAAACTGCACTGCATCGAATTTTTAATCCGATGAATTCTTTGACTAAAAAAGAGATACACGACTTGTCACCAAATTCAGATATAAAAAGACCAAAATCACAATTGTATATATATATACTGATTAAATATTTAATAGACTTATCTTCTTCTTAAATATTTCTTAAACTTTTTCAAATATTGTTCTTGAAAAACTCAGAATATGCAAAATATATTGCGTGTAATTATCAAAATAGCCGCTTTGTCACGATAAAAATATTATTACACGAAAATAGCATATTCGAAACTTCAATTATCATAACTTGGAAACTTTATTTGTTTTAACAATTTTCTGTATAGTTATCCTTTAAAACAATGCTCCTCGTACAATACTCTTAAATAGCATTATAAATCCCGATAATATTAAACTTCAAATATGATGCGCGCCAGTTAAAACTTTTATTTAAGATTTCTAAATAATTTTACGTTCTCTCGTTGTAAAATTCAGAAAAATAAAAATGCGAGGCAAATTTACTAGACTGGCGATACAATGTAATTACAAAGTTTTAGAGAGATAATCATTTTCCATGTTTATGCGCAGGTGAAAATACTGTTTCTGCAATGGCTGCCGTGTGTGTTGCGCATGAGTCGGCCAGGCAAGAAGATCACGAAGAAAACCATTCTCATGAGTAATCGAATGAAGGAGCTGGAGCTGCAAGAGAGGAGCAGTAAGAGTTTACTGGCGAATGTTTTAGACATCGATGACGATTTTCGCCATGGAAACAGTGCTGCTAATCCTGCCTCGGGCTATATAAGGTACCATTTAGTTCACCGTTCAATCTCTTCAGCTCGTTGCGGTTGGCGAAAATCCAAATACAGAATACAAAACGGGGCTTAACGTTTATTTTCTCGGCCAGTCGCACTTTTGTTCGCTAACAAGAAGGGTTGTTTTTTTTTTTTTACAGCGCTCGAATGATAGACGAATGTTATTTGTGGGGAATAACGGAAAATCGCGTTTTAATCTTGCTGCGAAAAAAACACCGGGGAAAACAAAAGCCGACACAAGCGTATATAATAATCCATTGTGAGCCATCGAATGAGCGGCAACGAACGCATCGAAAGCGGATGGGATGCGTGTTTCCGAATAAATGCACCTTGTTGTACGTAATTCAATTCGCGTGTTCGCCTGCGCTCGACGTTATTTCACACTTCTGACGGGTAAAATCGAAGACACGACTGTAGGTCGATTACAGGACGGTACACATTCGTGTTTGCTCTATAATAACTGCGAACGCGGCAGAGATCCGTTCACACGAAATCTGTCGACTATCGTTTAAAACGGCCGCAACAGTTATACCGCTGGAATCGAATATCGAGATTCCGACCCTCGATAAACGCCGACTCAACCCATTTCCCCATTTTCCCACGGGATTTCTTCGCGATTTTTTCCTCCGTGCCGGTTTTCACGAACCGTTAACAAAATATTCTGTCCTAACATTTTTTTGCTCGATCCTTCAATAACAGCCTCTGGTTTGCCGGGCGATTTTCGTCGGGCAATCTGTATTTTCTCCTCTGTCTCTTCTACCCTCCTCTTTATCACATCGCTATGAAAACTCGACAATGAAAATGTCTATGATATGTTACTCCAACTCAAATGCATCGCTTGATAATTTCATGATTTAATTCACTGTTTAAATTATTAAAAAAATATAAAAATATTCAGAGAGACTTTACATAAAAAATAGTATTTTGCAAGTGTATTATTTGGAAACAAGAGAAGGAAGTTATTTTAAAAGCTCAAGTCAAACTATGTAAAATAAAAACTATGTAAAATTGCATAATAAATAAAAAATTTTAATAAATATAAATGCATAAGTTAATAATTAATTATTTCCTTGTTGGAAAAGGAAATTAAGAATATGAATGCTGTAAAATTTTCAAGTGTAGATTATCACGACGATTTATTTGCACTGAATAGGCGATTTTTACAAAAACTTTGCATCTTATATATATCAAGGTGGATTATTTCAATAATTTATAAACAACCAATATATATACCTATAATACTCTGAGGAATGGCATCTTCTCGAATTCTTTGATGATCCATACGAAATTTCTATCGACGCTTTACCTTGAGAGGTATTGTGAGGCACCTTTGAGAGTAATAATTTACACGATCTTTTACAGTAGGTCGGCGTACGGCACACCGCTGTCGGCCAGGCCGGCGACAGTCGAAGAGACTTCGGCATCGTTGCCTCTCAGCGGCATGCAGAGGGAACTTCACACAATTCTCAAGGAATTGCAGTTCATCACCAGTCGCATGAAAAAGGCGGACGAGGACGACGAGGTCATTAGCGACTGGAAGTTCGCCGCCATGGTGGTCGACAGGTTGGAATGTTCTCAAATCTTTCATGTGATTTCAATCGTGCACTCGCGAAAAATCACAGATAAAGAGATAGCTTTTACAGCGACGTTCGAAATTCAGATTCTCATTTTTTGTACCACGAAAAACTCATCCGTCATTTATGTGCCGACCCATTAACTTAACTTTAGGAAAATCTATTATGTAAATGTTTGAAACTTACTTGGTAATTATCAACCATTCTTCGGAATTTCTTTATTCAACAATTTCTTAATCGTATAAAGCTCATTTATTAAATAGTGTCAATTTAATTCGTAAATTTTGATTATCTCGCGATAGATGTGTTTTTACACACGTATCTGTGTTATCTACAATTTAAATTTGTTTCCTAACAAAATAATTTTTTGTCTTTATTATTTATCCAATAATAAGTTATTCTGCTAAAACAATCGACTTGCAAAACTAACATAAAAATTTTTTTCCCTGTGAAATCAAGGCTTTGTCTGTTCATCTTCACGCTATTCACGGTTTTGGCTACGGTGGTGATATTGTGTCGCGCTCCACACATAATCGTCCAGTAATAGACTGCCCCGGTCGAACCGAAAAAAATATGCACAAAAAATGCCAGGGATAGCGCCTCCTGGAATTTGGTAAGGATATACATTTTTTTTTTTTTTTTTTTTTATTAATACAGCTGCCTCCTCTCCTTATATATCTAATATGTCATATATATTACATTGGTTGCAAAAAGATTTCCTAGTTGTTCGTATTTTTTATTTCGTAAAAAAAGAAACTAAAAAAATTCTCCGAAAAATCCATATTATTTTTGCTGAAAATATACTACCGTCTATCGATCTGTTGAAACTCGTGAATTTATTTAATAACGTACGATTAGTACATTCCTCCAATATACAAGATCGAAATCAGCATGTGAATTTGCGCCATACGGACCGTATAGTTCGAAATCATTATGTGCGAATGACACGGACCAGATAACTATAACGCAGTTAATAATGCGTGGAGATGTTAACAAGTGCCATGTAACAAGCTTGGCTCGTTGGATGGTACGCGTTGAAAATTTTCAATCGCGCCAACGCGAATGTCTCTATTTCGCTATTTCGTCGTGCTAATTGCCGTTCGGTGCCTCCAGAATGCAGTCCGGAGCGCAATTATTTATGCATTAATTCGAATATACGACCATTCGATTACATAATTTCAAATACTCGCTGCTACTTTATCATTGATTTTGAATGGTATGAGAGTTCGAAACTAGCATGTGTAATTAATAAAAAAGATTTATTATTTGCTTATAATCTATAAATTAAATTATAAATTAACAGTATTTTAATATTCACGAAATAACAACCTGTATATGGAGCATACGATGTTTTAATTATGTAATTATACCAAAAAAAACTAAAATGTTAATTCACTTCGACTTGCATTCTTTGTATCAATATTCCTGAAAAAAATTATATAAAGACTAGATTTTTGTTTGTTAATCTAGGAAATTTCTGACCCAATTTTTATCTTCATTGTTTTGCTTAATCTTCTCGAGTTTAATTACACGATATTCTCTTTTCAGTCGAAGATTAAAAAGTTGTCAAAATATATTAGCTAGATGGAAACTCTCACATTTTGAGCTTTAGAACCGCTGAAACTAAAAGCCCGATTCGAAGGATTTAATGAAAGAATAAACTTGTAAAAAGTAATCGGCGCGCATACACATATTATATACACATATCCCGGAGAATCCTTCATCCTAAATCATCATCTCCCTAAAAAATAACAATCAGACATCTCGCGTTATACTTGCGCTTTCTTCTCTCTCTTTCGTAGGAACGACGTCCGATTTGAGGAGGTGGCTACGGAGCGCGTGGAAGTGACGAGAAAGCGCGGAAAAAGAGAGACGGACTCGTTAGCCCCTTTCGCGCCCTTCTGCGCGATTCACCCCTTTCGGGAACAAGAGAATGTTCTCTCGTTCTCGGATTCCACGCTGGAAAACGCCGCCGGATTGTGCGCCCGGTTCTTTTGCGCGACGTGCTTTCATTTAGGCGAGTAAATAGGCAACCAAGAGTGAGACCACCAACGACGTTCACGAGAAAAGCCACGGGGAGGATGGACATGCGGCAGCGGTAGCGGTGGCGGACGCCTCGTCTTTCGAATGGAAAAAACATGCTTGGCAAGAAGAAAGAAAAATGCTTCCGGATTCGAGAAGAGAGAAAACGAAGGAAGGGAACAAGGACCCGATCGCCGATGTCACGCTTCGTTGCGGCTGCGTTCTTTCGTTTAAGTGACTTAATAATTAACTAGTTCTACAGTGCGAAACCGGTAGGTAATTGACGCGCGACGCGAGCTGGACGAAGATTTAGAGGCTGCCTCTAAATCGTAGAAGGAAGGTAGGTGCAGACGAGAGAGAGGACGCGCTGCCGAGTTAAATCTAAATGCGTGTCGCGGGCTCTTGTCGATCGCGACTTCGTTCGACGATCGCCGCGACCTTGTTTCGGCGATCGGGATCGATCTCGAATTCGACGAGCGATGCGATTTCGCGAGATAACGCGATAAGTGGACGCGCGACGAGAGTCGACACATGGCATCACGAGAGAAGAAGATCGCGCAGTCNCGTTGTTGCGGCCTTTCGATAATAGTAACAATAACGATATATAAAATATTTCTTATAATAATGAAAATAATAATTAACGATATAATTAACTGTTAGTCGCTTTGCGCGCGCGCGCGCTCGCACGCACGCGCGTTACGACTGAGTCGTAATTAATTAACGCCGCGATCTGTTGAGGGTCTCTCGTGGGGAGCCGAGACGGACTTCAAAATAACTGCCAAATATAAAAAACTCAGTGTCAGGGGTGTTCAACCTTCTCTCAAACGGTGGGAAAGTAAAGTGCGGCCTGGACGATCGGCAGGGTGAACGCGCGCGGCGCCGTGACCAATGACGAGAGCCGAGACAAGGGTGATCGTGTCACCGTTTGTTTCGCGTTCGACGAGGATCCTATATTTTCCCTCTGTACAAACTGCGCTGCTAACGCGGTTCA